TGGGGGGCCCATCGGGGGCCTATAGGGCTGGTGGAGGCCCATTGGGGGGGGGCTGACCAAGGGGAGGGGCTTCAGGAGGTTGGCCACTGGCTCTGCCCCCTTTAGGGGTGGGGGGAGATCGGGGGTGGGGCCGGCCTGGGGACAGGGCTGTGGGAGGTTGGCTGGCTGGCTCCACCCCCCAATTGGGCTAGTTTGCTGGCCGCAGTGGGTGGTTGTTCCTGTTGTTATGGGGGTCCTTTCGCTGGCTTTTTATATATATAGATTACAAACTATACAACTTTAAATCATTACTGTATTTTGCATCAAGTTATCTTTTCTTGTGCCACTAAAATCTGAAAAGAGTGTTCAAAAATATAAGATCTACATATACTAGTAGACCAATTACACAGTTATTTCATAAACTGTCATTTTTATTTATGTTAGAATGTCCAGTCAGTACCCTCTTGGCTATCAGCAGCTTCACCACCTGTAAATCTTGACACAGAACTTCCAGAACACATGTTACAGTGGGCACTTGATGTGCTAAAGGTGGAAATACATCGTAACTTAGAAGGTGCAAGACAACACTATGAGACATACGGTATATGTGATAAATATGATATTATATCTTTTTATTATAAAAGAATGACATTTTATTTTTACTAGAATTTGGCTAGATATTTGGTTGTCTGGGGCTGCCATGAAAGAGCAGGGAGAGCCAGAAGTTAGCATGAACATGGCTGTTGGCAGCATCAAGGATCAAAACTAAGAAACTTGAATTCTGTTGTCTGGTCCAAAGAGTGAATGCTAACTGGATCAGGGTGATAAAGCCAAAAGATAGAAAGAAGAGATGTTGGAATAAGGAGAAAGCTAAGTTAAGGTTAAAAGCAAAGTAATCTATAAGAATAGCAGCTCAAGTTTATAGTCTTCTCAAGTGTGTATCAAGTCAGGATAGGTAATTTTATTTGATATCTTAAGCAAAATCTTTTATTAACTGGCTTATTTTTATCTCTTAAATTATTTTAAGATCATTACATACCCTTTTATCTTTATTTTGAAACATCTGTATTTAACCTGGTTTGCTTAAGTCTATTTTATTCCATTCTATTTCTATTAATGTACTAGTATGTTAATACTCAATTAATAATAATAATTAATTGAATAGGCTATTCCATTCTATGATCATATAAAAAAGCACTTATCTTTTTAAAAGGTTAATATTGATATTTAAATTAGATTATTAATTTTCAGTTGAAAAATATAATTGGCTCCTTGATGGCACTGCAGTTCAGCTGATAGAGACTTTTCAGGCGGAAGATCACACTTTTGATGAATACACAGAGGTAAGTGATAATTCTGTTTTTGATTAATGCCTTTTGAGTATCCTTTTAAAATTATGATCTTTTTATTCTAGAAAATAAATGCTTCAATTAAAGTTATTTGAATTTATTCAAAACATCATTTTAGTAAACTTATAGATTTACCTCATAATTTCTTTAGTCATTCATTTACTTATTCATTGATTCAACAAAAATTTCTTCATCACATTCAGACACCTAGCAAGATTTTGGTGATGTAAAAATAAATAATACATTAACATTGTTCTCAGGAGCTTATACTTGGCCTGGAAGCTAGACATATTAATGGAAATATTGAGATAAGTACTGGAATACAGATATGGATGAAGTGTGAAAGCACAGAAGAGGAAACGATTGCTTTTGCTTTGGGAAATTCGTGAAGGTTTTTAAAAGTAGTGATAAGTGAGCTAGGTTTTGAAGTAGATGTTTATAGGGGGATTTAGCTGAAGCAGGGAGGCATGGAAGAGACTAACATAGCTCAATGTGGGGTAGGGGGGAATGAGAAGAGATAAACTAAAGAATTTATATACATAGTCCATGGACACAGGCAATAGGGTAATAAAGATCTTGGGTGTGGGTAAGGGCTGTGAGTAGGGGGGAAAAAGGGAAGGAATGGGGGATATCTGTAATACTATCAACAATAAAAATCTATATCTACACTAATAAAGAGAAACATGCAAATTGGTGTCACTCTGCTACTTTCCATTGCTAATCAGGGCAATATGCAAGTTAACTGCAAGCCAAGATGGCGGCCGGCAGCCAGGCAGCTTGGAAGGCGAACATGAGGCTT